GTACGAAAGAGGGGTCTGAGAGAGAGAGAGAGAGAGAGAGAGAGAGAGAGAGAGAGAGAGAGAGAGAGAGAGAGAGAGAGAGAGAGAGAGAGCGCGCGCAGGTGCACCAAGATTGGTTAGAGAGATTAGTGATAATCTCGGAGCTCTGACATCTCTTTCACCTCCACTTGACGTGGGGGAAGGATATAATTGCCGTGGGTGAGAACTGAACACCTTTGTTCACCCAGGAGTAATTTTGTTCCGGGTTGTAAACCCGATTGGCGGGTCGTGTTCCAGGGGAGGAAAACTAGCAGGATAAGGCCTCCCATGAGCTATGGGAACAGGAAGCTCTCAGGCCTGTTAACAGGAGTCACAGCTCCTGTTAAACAGACAAAAATAAATATATTTTCTGTGTAAACCGAAAATATATTTATTAAAAAACGAACCTGTACTTAGGCCTATCGAAAGCACTATTTCCCCTAAGCCTACTACTGTTTTTTTCCCCAGAAAGCAACCCACAACAGTTTAAGTTCTGGGCACAACCGTTTCTATCATGTCAGAAGGGGGGGGGGGAGGGGGTGGAAGAGTCAATCCCGGGTTCCTCGGTTGTGAGTCGAGGACGTAGACTATTATGCTACAGGAACCTCATTACTTATGGGGTGTGTTTAAAAGTCATCGCTAACTGGCGAAGGAGACTGATGGCCGCGCTTCTTGTATGTTCGGCGTTCGATCCCAGATGGTGCAAGCGATTGGGCACAGTTCCTTCTCTCCCCCTCATCCGATCCCAGCTCCTTGTCCTCATATTTCCTCACACACACACACACACACACACAGGTGCTCATCACACACACACACACACACACACACACACACACACACACACACACACACACAGGTGCTCATCTCACACACACACACACACACACACACACACACACACACACAGAGGTGCTCCTCACACACACACACACACACACACACACACACACACAGGTGCTCATCACACACACACAGAGGTGCTCATCACACATACAGAGGTGCTCATCACACACAAACACAGTGCTTCTCATCACACACAAACACAGAGGTGCTCATCACACACAAACACAGAGGTGCTCATCACACACACACACACACACGCACACACAGGTGCTCATCTCACACACACAGAGGTGCTCATCACACACAGAGGTGCTCATCTCACACACACAGAGGTGCTCATCTCACACACACAGAGGTGCTCATCTCACACAGAGGTGCTCATCTCACACACAGAGGTGCTCATCTCACACAGAGGTGCTCATCACACACCTCAGTAATATCACCATCAACTCTCCATCTTTAAACTTGGATCATCAGCGGCCTGAGGTCGACGGCCGGCGTCATTAAGAACTCGTCACCCTCCCCAAACACTTCCATTATTCAAACTTGGGTAAGGGTTAAGGCCGCTTGTGTGTGGCTGACGTCTGCTGGGTGACGCCTACTGGGTGACGTCTGGGGACTGACGCCTGGTGGGTGACGCCTGGTGGGTGAGTCCCGCTTGTGTGTGGGTAACGCCTGGTGGGTGAGTCCCGCTTGTGTGTGGGTGACCCCTGGTGGGTGAGTCCCGCTTGTGTGGGGGTGACGCCTGGTGGATGAGTCCCACCAGGACTCACCCACCACGCGTCTGTCTGCTTGTCTGCTGCGTCACTGGTGCAGTGTCTGCTGCATACTTCACCTCGCAAGACAGTGCCCGGATGAATCAATATCGAAGCCCCACGATGGAATCGAACCCGCGTCTCCGGACTCCTGAAGCAAACAGAAAGGTTCGATTTCATCGTACGGCTTCAATACTCCTTCACAGATCCTTCACGTTCTCCTGAATTTATTGTTCTGTGTTAATAAGTCATGTGATATAGGGGGGAGATGCGCCCCCCCCCCCATCATCTAAGACGACGTGGCCAAGACTCTAACACTGGAGCCGGTCGGCCGAGCGGACAGCACGCTGGACTTGTGATCCTGTGGTCCCGGGCTCGATCCCGGGCGCCGGCGAGAAACAATGGGCAGAGTTTCTTTCACCCTATGCCCCTGTTACCTAGCAGTAAAATAGGTACCTGGGTGTTAGTCAGCTGTCTGGGGGTGGAGGCCTGGTCGAGGACCGGGCCGCGGGGACACTAAAAAAAAAAAAAAGCCCCGAAATCATCTAAGATAACCTCTAAGATAACACCATTAAGGCAACAGTTGCAGCACTTATGCAAACACCAACAGCCTGGTTGAATGGCGTTAATAGATATTAAATTATAATCTTGATGGTCTTCGACACACACACACACACACACACACACACACACACACACACACACACACACACACACACACACACACACACACACATGGGACAGCACGCTTGATACGTAGTCATGTGGTCCGGGGTTCGATTCCCAGGGCCGGCAGAAACAAATGGGCAGAGTTTCTTTCACCCTGGTGTCCCTGTTACCTAGCAGTAAATAGGTACCTGGGAGTTAGACAGCTGTCACGGGCTGCTTCCTGGAGATGTGTGTGTGTGTGTGTGTGTGTGTGTGTGTGTGTGTGTGTGTGTGTGTGTGTGTGTGTGTGTGTGTGTGTGTGTGTGTGTATGTGTGTGTGTGTGTGTATGTGTGTGTGTGTGTGTATGTGTGTGTGTGTGTATGTGTGTGTGTGTGTATGTGTGTGTGTGAAAAAAAAGTAGTTAGTAACAGTTGATTAACAGTTGAGAGGCGGGCCGAAAGAGCAGAGCTCAACCCCCCCAAAGCACAACTAGGTGAATACGGAGAGCTAAACTATTGGGCAAGTCAACGAGGAACTTTCCAAGTATGTCAGGGGACCCCACAAGAATGCACGGTAATGACCAACCCGCCAGACTTGACCTGATATCCACACTGAACGAGCCAGATATAAGGGAAGTCATACTGGACGCCCCGTGGGAATGAATGGCCACAGTGTATTGACATTTGAGGATCTGGTGGAAGCAAGGATAGCTTACTCCAGTAAGATATCAAAAGGCAAAGAGGCTGGTAAAGTGAAAAGGAAGCTAAGGTGAGATGAGAGAATTTTCTAACTGGAATACTACAGAAAGCAAAATTGAGAGAAAAGCCTTGTCCAAGACATGATGGACTCCATCACCATTAGAGTCAAGAAGCAATAGACAAGTTTGTCCCGGTTGAAAATGAAAGAAATACAAACAAGGATTTCATTGCTTAATGAAGGCTGTAACAAATTACGTACAAGGTCTAAGTCTTGGTTGCTAAGTTGGTTGCTAACTCTAAGTTGCTACACGCCCTGCTACAAGGGCGTGTAGCAGCTAATGAAATAACCGAATATTAGAAAGCGAAGAGAGAGAGACCAAAGAGCCACGAATGAATTCTTCAGTGTGAGAAGCCAAGCAAAAAGGCAGCATGGAACCGACATCGCAGATAAACTAAACCCAACCCAAACTGCTTCACAGCCACAGCAGGAGGGAAACAACAGAGAAGGAACAGGTAATGAAACTTAGAAATGGGGAGGACAGACTCATTGTGAATGACAAAGAGGTGTGTGAGGATCTCGACTAGAGATTTCAGGAGGACTTCATAATAGAACAAGGACATGTGCCCAAACTGAGGAAGACGGTGCTAAAGCAAGCAGTACAGAAGGAATTTGACATTACCAGAGATGAGGTCAGTAGGCATCTGCTGGAACTGTCCATAACAAAGGCTGCTGGTCCAGACAGAATTTCACCATGGATATTAATAGGTGAAGCATCAGCACTGTGCTTACCACTTTCTATGATATACAATAGGTCACTGCAAATTGGAAACCTACCAGAATGTTGAAATGTAGTTCCAAAATCCAAGCAGAGACACAGATAGGAATCACTGAACTACAGGCAAAGTCCCTTACCATAACATGCAAGGTGATAAGAAAGATTGCGAGAAAGAGGCTGGTAGAGGTTATCTTGAGATGATTTCGGGGCTTTTTAGTGTCCCCGCGGCCCGGTCCTCGACCAGGCCTCCACCCCCAGGAAGCAGCCCGTGACAGTTGACTAACACCCAGGTACCTATTTTACTGCTAGGTAACAGGGGCATAGGGTGAAAGAAACTCTGACCATTGTTTCTCGCTGGCGCCTGGGATCGAACACAGGACCACAGGATGACAAGTCCAATGTGCTGTCCGCTCGGCCGACCGGCTCCCAAAGAGGAGGAGAATGGAAGTTGTAACACACACCAGAACGTATTGAGAGATGGTACATCTTGCCTCACAAATGCAAGGCTAAACAAGGGTGTGGAGAGAGTGTAGGCACAGTGGCACTAGGCATATATCCTAGGCACCAGTCTCCGTGGTGTAGTGGTAAGACACTCGCCTGGCGTTCCGCGAGCGCTGTCATGGGTTCGTATCCTGGCCGGGGAGGATTTACTGGGCGCAAATCCTTAACTGTAGCCTCTGTTTAACTCAACAGTAAAATGTGTACTTGGTTGTAACAACGATTCTTCGCGGCGGGGATCGTATTCCAGGGACCTGCCCGAAACGCTACGCGTACTAGTGGCTCTACAAGAATGTAACAACTCTTGTATATATCTAAAAAAAAAAAATATATCTTCCAGTCTTATGCCACTAAGAGAGAGAGAGAAACAGCGTTCCCACTAGAGTGAAGAAAACCAATAACACAGCTACTCAGCTGCCTCGCCCTATCCCAAGAACGACAAGGAAGGTTATGTAGAGAAATCGAAGCACTCGAACTAAAGCTGCAAGATTCGTGTAAAATCCCGGAGAGACAAAGAGAGAGAGAGAGACAGAGAGAGAGAGAGAGAGAGAGAGAGAGAGAGAGAGAGAGAGAGAGAGAGAGAGAGAGAGAGAGAGAGAGAGAGAGAGAGAGAGAGAGAGAGAGAGAGAGAGAGAGAGAGAGAGAGAGAGAGAGAGAGAGAGAGAGAGAGAGAGAGAGAGAGAGAGAGAGAGAGAGAGAGAGAGAGAGAGAGAGAGAGAGAGAGAGAGAGAGAGAGAGAGAGAGAGAGAGAGAGAGAGAGAGA